AAGTAATGTCGAATTTCACTGATAAACTGACACCAGAAGGAGATGATTATTATCACTATAAGTTGATCTGTTCTCCTAATTTTAAGGCAAGGTAGAAAAGAAAAGTAACTGAAAGAAGAGAAATAGTCTCACCATATCCACTAATCTTGTGACTGCTTCCCAGGAGAACACTTGGCACAGTAATCATTTTTCAACATCGCATCTACCAAATCCTACTGCACACTGAGAACAAGCCAGGCATGGTGGCGCACACCTATAATCCCAGCACTCGAGGAGGCAGAGGCAGGCAGATCTCTGTGAGTTCAAGGCCAGCCTGGTCTACAAAGTGAGTCTAGGGCAGCCAAGACTACACAGAGAAACCCTGTCATGAAAAAACAAAAACAAACAAACAAAAACCCACCACCACCAACAACAACAACAAAATGTCTTTGGTCCCATAATGCTGACCAACAACAGCAACAAATTCTAAGAAGAGTAACCACAAACAAAACTTCCAAGAGCCATAAAATAGGAGGAGCAAGAGGAGAATAAAAAAAATTAACCGTTGACCCCGAACACCTTGTAATGAAAGTTATTGACTCTATTCACCGAATCAGATGCAATGCTTTGTCTCCCTGTGTATCACCAATTACAATCTCCCCCTCCCCCTTTTTTCATATAGAGAAAGGAAGGCTCTATAGTAAGAAAATGGCAGAGCCAGATTTGAACCTGTTTCCTGGTCCCAAAACCTGTGAAATTCCCCTACAGTCATGAGACTCAAGTAAAAGACAATTTTCCTGTTTTTTCTTATGCCCTAAACACTGCATATGTCTTTAGATACCAGTTTTGTCAATTGGCAGTTGGGTACGGGGTGATCAAAGGGACACACTGACTCTGGGAATGGTCTTGATATCCTTAATGGAAACTGCCAGTGGCACTGACATGCTGACCAGGTTCACTTTTCTAAGAAACGCCCTCAGAACATGGTGGAGTGCTCCCCTCTGGACCGTGGTTAGGCACAGATCACAACCAAACACCAATAACCAAGCGCAAACCAAATGCAACGTGATTCTTTATTAAGCAAGACAAAGAGACAAGGTGGCTGAATCTGAATTGGGCAAAAACAGCAGCAACTAACTTTGCAAGTGTTAATTTTAAGAGGAAAAAGGGGGAGGTCTATGTTAGAATGACCTAGGACTTGTGGGTGAGTTCTGATCAGGAGTTTTAAGTAGGTTAGTCAAAATAATGAATTTTGATTGTTGGACCTTGATGTTTTGATAGCTGGACCTTGCTGATCAGTCTCAGGAATGAGTCAGGCCTAACAAAGTGGCCAAATACAGGAATAGCCTTGGTGGCTAATTTTAGAAATGTGACCTAATGGTTTAGCAAGGGGGAGAAAGGTAAAGGGCAAAACCCATCGGCGCCGCATTTTCCATGCTCATCTTCTATTTGCCACTCTCAGGCATGCTAGAGCCTTTCAAGGGCGCTAAGGAAGACTGGAAAGAGAAAGGGTGGCTAATATCTGATCCGGAGGAAAGCTGTAGAAGCGAGAACTGAAAATTTGGTCCAATGTTAATTTGCTTTGGCTGGCCAGCTCAGAAGTCTGCACTGCAGACATCTAAGGACACAGGACACAGGCCTGGCAAGAGCATGGAAATCCATGGGAACACACTGCATCAACAAACCCGGGAATCAAAGCATGGATGCCTAATCCTGCTTTGAAATTAACACTTGATGAGGGAAGATGGGTTTTTCTTAGTTCTGGACTTCTATCCTGGCAGCAGATGTCATCTCATAATTGGTTGGTAATACTCCAGTTATTATCACATCCTCCCTGGGAGGCCCCAAATTCTCCTCAAGTCCTGATACAATCATGTTCATTTTCCTTTATCTCATATTTCTGGACAAGGCAATTTTTCTCTGTTTTGTTTGGCTTTGTTTCTCATTGGTCTCGCTAGGTATTCATGAGGCCAGCTAAGTATCTTAGTGGATTTGGCTCTTAATTTTCAGATTATTTTTTTTCTAATGTCAAGACTAAACTAAGAACTGGCTGTCGTGAAAAGGCTCACCTTTAAGGACAGAGTCTCAGTCTTCAGAGCATCAATAAGCTACACGTTAGAAGGTAGAAGACCGAGAATGGTTGTCAACACAGGTCATCAAGGCTTTGTGTGTATATGTGTGTCTGTGAAGGGGGGGAGGAGGGAGAGGAAGAGGAGAAGGGAGAAAGAGAGAGAGACTTGTTTCAAAGTTAGCTGACCTAGCTTAGTCCAGCTAACACATTTATTGCCACCCAAACCAGACACAACCCTCAGTATAACATAACCTGTAACCACAGCATTCCACTTGCGGGGTCCTCATTCTTAACTATCATAGACTCTGTGAACACGACTGCAATCATCTCTGCTGTGTGAAGTCTGCTCAGCTTGACTATCCATGGAAGATTTCTGCGAATAGGCATCTAACTTGGCCAAGTTCGAGTCAGAAGGGTTCTTCATGAATCCCATCTATCCCTGGATGGTGATGGCCTGCCAACATGACAGAAGAAGCTTTCTGACATTGTAGCACTTTCTAGATCTATGCCAGGACATTGTGACTACCTTGGGAGCACCATATACAGGGATGATTAGCTTTCTGTGCTTGTACGCTGGTTGCAGTAAGGAAGCAAACTGTTGGCATAATTTGGAATCAGGAGGCTTTGTTGACCTTTAGTTCTGCATCAGCTACAGTTTCTTCTTCATTCTTTCACGGTGGAAGTAAACGAAGACATCTGACCCCAGGGACCTAGAGTGTCTGCAGTGTCTGCACCATCTCTGCAGATTGTTGCTCCCTGAGATCACGGCCACAAGTGCCTATGCTCATCTTTGTCAGAGGATATTGACTGGATTCACAACCAAGAAGAGAATGCTCAAGGTCCTCTATCACTCTCCTGCAAGCCTTCAGGAAAATTCAGTTTCTCTTGCAGGCAAAAGGAAGTACACCAACATGACCCCACTCTCTGTCATAAGTTTCCACACTGATACCTTTCAGGGTAGGCTTAAGGGTAAGAATGTTTTACCAAGAACTGCTCTACCATGTCTTACAGAGTAACTTAAAAAGCATGAGAGCTATGGAGTCACTAAGAGTTACTGTAAAGAAACAGGCTTTGTTTTGTTTTGTGTTTTGAGACAGGATCTCTCTCTATGCCTTGGCTCTCCAATAACTCACTCTGAAGACCATGCTGGCTTCAAATTCACAGAGATCTGCCTGCTTCTCCCTCTGGAGCACTGAGATTAAAGGTGTGTACCACCACCACCCAGGTAAAGAAACAGTCTTAATAGAGAACTTGAGTACTAAAATATCAGTACAATGTTCTTTTGAACTTTAAAATTAAGGTCGATGATGTTTTGGGTGTAATGAAAACAGATAGTAGAAGGAAGGAAGTTTCTCCTTTTTTTGCAGTAGATATTATTAATATATTATAGGTATGGCACTGTGAGATAAGTGTTCATGTGCCCATTTAACAAGTGAAAAACCAATTATGGGGGCTGGGGAGTGAACTTGTGGGTAAAGTGTTTGCTGCACAACCATGAAGAGCTGAGTTCAAACTCCTCCCCCCCCCCAAAGCAACCGCTTAAAATTCTGGGAGTGGTAACGTGCCTGTGATCCCAGTGCTGGGAAATGGAGTCATGAAGATCTTGGTGGTTTGCCCGATCAGCCAGTTTAACAAAACATGTGAGGTTCAATGAGAGATCGTGTCTCAAAAAAAAAAAAGGTGGCCAGTGATTAAGGAAGGCAATAAATGTTAACTTTTGACCTCCAAAGGAAAGGTGTACACACACACACACACACACACACACACACACACACACACACACACACA